CACTAGAGTGCCTGAAGTCAGGTAAGATGAATCCAACTCAAATAAAGTTTCAGAATTTGTCAAAGAGTTTGGTAGAGTTGGGAACTATCCTTACATATTAGTAAATTAAGGTTAATTCTTTAGAAACAGATAATTTCATTATCATCTTGATGACCAATGACTAATTCCAATTGGAATGACAAATCATGACTCTCATCATATCTTATTTTTACTTTAATTTGAAGGCAAAATAGCAATCACCCAAGTAAGAAAATTAGACATACTAACAGAAAACTTTAAGACACACTCTAAAATGATATCATTCATATGCTATTGTTATTAATTTCTGTAGTTATTATCATATGCAGTTATTGGCTTAATAATAATCCAGCAGACTCTGAAAAACAATATTCAGTTTGCAAAAGCAAAGCCAGAAATAGTTTTCGTCACTCCAGAAACAGAATCTAAACATTATCTAAGAAAAAAAAAAAAAACCAAAGTAGCAAATAAATGGCTCTTGTGGTGCACAGCTAAGCTCATGGGACTATGTCCATTTCAAGCCACAGAACAAAGAAAATTCCAGAACTCTTAACGTCAAGAGATATTTTGAAATTTTCATGACTCCGTACTGCACTGGCCACAGACCTTACAGCAAGATTACAGGCTGCCTTATATCACATACTGAGTGAAGAATTTTAATGTGTGTGAATAATCTTCCGTGCCACAGCCAGCAGCTCCAGCTCCTAATTTCAGCAGATCTGTGCATGGGGTGACATCGCGTCATGCAAAGTGGCCTCTTGCATCCCCACGCTCTCTGTCCTCCCACCAGCACACTCCTGCACATTCAGTGTTCACCCTGGCCTCCTGTCGGCTCAAGAGATGCAGCTCATGTGACAGCCTGATACCTAAGACACTGCAAATGCCCTAAAGAGCAACTGGCTCCATCACTTTCCCTTGGCTATGCTGAATCCAATAAGCTGCCTATTCCAAAGCTTGCGTAGATCCAGCTTATCAGTTTTTATGGGGTGTAGGGAACAAGTGGTGACAGCACTGGAGAGTGAAGCATCTGGGAAGGTGTACCACAAGGGCAGCTGTCTCCAGCTTCAGAATGATTCTGGCACAACCATCTCCCACCAGCTCACAGGACTGGGGTTGACTTTCTTATTGTTAAACTCTTTCACTACTTATAACTGAGGTTGCTTCTCTCCTGCTAGCACCACTGTTTTTACACTATCAGTCTTCAAGGCATTCCAAAGAGGAATAAGCCAAGAGGCTAGCAAGTAGAGCAAGATGAATGTGAGGTCTGGCGTCTACATACTTACTTGGGCTATAAGGAAGCAATGACACTCCCCCCATCCCAGGTATGTGTGTATTCCTTGACACAGCAGCATGTCATGCTGACACATCTCGGCACAGAGCACCCCCTGGGCAGTTGGCTGTCGGTATCTCCGGAAACCCTGGACAGATCCCTCCTCTATTCCTAGTGATGAGGTACAAGCAGTACGCTGCTCCCTCCAAGAAAACAATGAAGGAATAATACTGGCTAAGTCCCTCTACAAAATGCTGGGTCTGGAGAAGCAAGTCCCCCCAAAAATAAAGTGTGGTCCAAACTAACAGTCAGTTTGTGTGACAGCATGAGTGAGGGAAGCCCTCTCTCTTAGGCAAGAGTAGGAATAAAATTTGCCTCCTTCATGAGATAGCAGCTCCTGCTACTACAAACTGCTTGACAGGGTTTGGGAAGAGATTTTCTTCCCTGGAGCACCATGACCCCATCAACTCATCTATTGTGTCTTACCTTTGGATGAAGTAGAATCTCCCAGCTTGGGCCAAGTTTGGACTCACACCCCCACTCTGAGTGGCCTGAAGGTTAATGACATATCAAGACTTACCACTCTCACTGCACCTCCAGGAGAACACTTCTTTCCATACAGTTCCGACATTTAATTTGGAAAGCCCAAAACACTGAACCCAAAATTTTGATTACCCTGCTTTCCACTGTGCCTATTTCTATAACAGTATCGAGGCACTGTGTGTCTATGCCCCATTTCATCATTTAGGATGAAGCACAGACCTTAGAGGTTTCTTGAGTTTGGAAATTTTTATGTTTGGACCCATCCTATAAGTTTTTACAAATAATTCCTCTCTTCTGTTTTTAAATATTTAAATTTATACAAAGTCATCCAATTCATACCCTTATAGGGTATCATATACTACTTATATTAATAATAATCATTTAACATTAATAATAATTATATTACTATTAATTACATGGATAAACCATAATTTGGATGCATAACATAATCATCAGTGTAATCTCAATGCAAATAATACTGGCATGTTTTAATTGATGAAACAAACCCTATACCTAAAATTACAGAGATATATAGGTTCTGGTGTACCAATGAGACCAAGTGTCCCTCAGTCTCGGTTACCTTTATGGGGGTTTTACAACTGGTTTCCGGACTAAAGATCTCGTGCACTTTCATTTATTTCATCTGTTGGTGATTCCTCCATGTGGATGCTTGCCCAGTGTTGCTGTCCTTGCACAAAGCAGGCAGACATTTGTATTCTGGCAAGTGGCAGAGCTGCATTTTCCACAAGCAGCTTTAGGATGGGCTATAAAAGTGAACCAGAAAGGCGTCAATGATCACTCAGCAGTGTGATGAAGATCTTCATCACTCAGCAGTGATGATGAAGAAAGTCAACAAGAAATGAATGGAGTTAAAGAATGCAGCCTGGGAGAGAGAGAAGAAAGACTCAGGCATAGCTCAGGTCTAGCAGCATTTAGATATCCACTTTTTCCCTTTACCAGGTATTATGGGCTTGCAGATGTGCAACTCCTAGTTACACCCTAGCTAAAGAATCAAAACCTAGAAGAGTATTTAACTACACACAGAGAGAAAAGGGTGTTTCAAAGCTCTCAGCAGGTATCAGTGCCAGATGCAGAACTGATGGTAAAAAAGTGAAAAGGAACATGACAGTTAAATTTTGCCTGCATTTTAGTGTCATGACATTTAAAGATTCAATAGACAGCATTTTAGCCTACAAATTCCAGACTATACTAAGAATTGAAAGACTTCCAAAGTGTCAACATATTAAAAGATAATATTGTTCTACAAACTGCATAAATGTGAAAGAAAATTCAAGTAATTTATTAATGGTAATATATTCAATTGAATTAAAGAAGGGCACGATATTTGCCTGAATTAAGACAAAATTTATCGTGATTAACTTTGGACAGAGCGTTATTTATACCATGCTTTCTGTGGTAGGCATGGAATTAAAGCTGTTCTTTGTTATTACAAATATGCATAATGTCATTTTTCACCGCAGCCAAGTGCATCAGTGCTCCTAAACTAGCCCTTGTTTTAAACAGAAGAACAAAATCAATCTCCTAATAGAGAGAAAGTTGAAAAACTGGAGCCCCAGGAAAAAAGATTCCTGTGGTACTAGAGACATGGAAATAGCAGCTTTTATCAGCTGATGTTACCTATGCTCCTGTAGTTAAAATATCTCACTAAAGGTTTCCATAGCTGAGCAAACCTTCCAGAAGTGCTGTGTCTTAGGACTGGAAGTTCAGTCAGATAAGCAGTGCATAATTATTCAGTAGCCATATGAATTTATCTGAACAGGAAATGGAGCTGTTAATCTCACAAAATCAGACTCTCACAAACTTTACAATATTGCTGATTTCAGTCTGCTTAGCAATACTTTCTGAAAAGCTTCTTATTGTGCTTTGATACATCACACCACTATCCCACATTTCCAAACTTTTATGTGTCTCTTTCAGTACTTCTGTTCGCCTCCACCTGTATCTACTGGTAAGAGTTGAACAGAGCACCTTCTAATCCTCAAGTGACCCCCATTCCTGCCTGCCCAGCAGTAGTCCTGTTTTCAAGAGGCATCCTTGAGAGCCTTATGCAGGTTTATAGTACACCACCAAAAAGTAGGGCTCTGGCTAAGGACAAACAGCATGAAAATATAAGAGAATAGAAAAAAAAACTATTGGATCAAACCAAAGGCTCATCTATCCTACCCTGAATGAGATCTAAAAGCTTATTTCTAGGACTGTCAGAACAGGAAAAGCGTACAGGCACCATATAGGTGACCAGCTGTGCCTGTATGTCCCCTTTGCCCACAGCACCAGGACAGTCCAACATCAATGGCAGGGAGGTGGGTGATAGGAAAAGGGAGTAATGGTTTTGAAGTGAAAGAGGGTAGATTCAGATTAGATATGGGGAAGAAATTCTTCACTATGAGGGTGGTGAGGCACTGACACAGGTTGTCCAGAGAAGTGGTAGATCCCCCATTCCTGAAAGTGTTCAAGGCCAGGTTGGTTGGGGCTCTGAGCAACTTGGGCTAGTTAAAGATGTTCCTATTCATGGCAGTGGGGTGGAACCAGATGACCTTTAAAGTCCCTTCCAACACAAACCATTCTATGACTCTGATTCACATGCTGAGGCAGTGAGAGCCTTGACATGCCATGGTGATGTGACACCACAGGCACCAAGCTACCACACTGAGCCAGACCCATCTGCGTGATACCTCCTGCCCTCCAGCAGGGAAATGAAAGGCAGTTCTTGACTTGAACTACTCCTGGTGGTGCACAAATGGCTCCTGTAAAACTACGTGACTGTGAGCTGCACACCCAAGACATAATACAAATAAATTCTTTGCTATTTAAAGCAATGTTGTTCAAAGCTTCACAGCAAAGGTCCTGCGAGCATTTGACTCACAATCACAGCAACATATGACTGGACATCAGAAAAATAAAACTGGTAGAATCTTACCATGAAAGTTGTTGTTTTCCTTTTCTAGAAAACATAGCCAAAGGGACATCTGAAATGCTACAACAAGGTCAGAGGGGCATGAGCAATTGTCCTGAGGACACGGGGTGCAGTGCACAGTTTTGACAGGAGCACAGTGATACTCAAATAAGCAACAAAACCAAACCAAACCCAGTATTTGCAGCTGTAATAGCACTTGTTTTCTACACCTTTTTTCCTTTCCCACTCCCCCAGGACAACAGAAAAACAAAGACAGATTAGTACGACAGAGATCAAATTGCTACCTCTGGCAAAACAGCTACTGCTGAGACCAAAGTCAGTAAGGAGCAGCTTACACAAAGGTTGTGGTTTAAAGCAAATGAATCAAGCACTTATACCAGAAATAAACAAATTCTCCACCTCGAAAGTGATTTTTCATGTGCATAAGGTGAGGAACTTGAAAAAGTTTTCCTTACTTAAAGACAACCAGAATTACTAGAACTAACCATTATCTGCTTCAATGTATGTCTTGATTTCAATCCTGTTAAAGAGGAAATAGGAGGAAAAGTGAGAGAAATCCAACCAGGCTACACTGGAACATTTTGCTGAGTGGCTCTGCCTGAAACTCAAACAACAAAGAAACATGTTGCCTGAAACGTAAGAGATATCAGAGGTCGATGGGATTGTGCCAAGGACTGAAGAATCCAATCACACTTGCATGGAAAACTGTCACACTTCTTACCTGCAGGGAGTAAATCAGAGAGGCAGATGTAAGAAAGACATCTGCAAAGGCTTCTGGAAAAGCTTGCTATGTGTGTTGATTCACAGAATATTACCACCTACTGATACACATACAGAAGTGAATTCATCTAAATCCAAGGCCCTGGAGCTGAAAAACATCCTTCTGCTTAAAATGTGGATATTATACACACACAAAAAAATATCTTCTCTTCTAAGAGACTCACAGTCTATGCACAATCAGAATCACTTTTGCTTCCTGTCCTGCAACACTGACACAGCTGAGACTTAACTTTCTCCTTTATGGTTTCACAATTTTGTGTGTGTTGAATGCTTTATTGCTTGTCATGGCACACAGCACAGGAAACCTTAAGTGCTAAAGATGCAGCCCTCTTTAAAAGCAGGTCTAAACTTGGAGACAGGGGTGATAGATTGATTAATTTCAGGCTAATAGAGGGTGGGATTTGCCTCTGCCAGCTTTGGCTATTCAAAAAGTAGGCTCTTAGTTTAAGCATAGGTCCAGGCTCTCCTAATGATCAAAGAAAAACAGAAGGCATCTGCAGAGTAATTCACCCAAGATAAATGTTCATCACAACTGGGAACCCTCCAGGAGATCCTCCTCTCTCCCTGTCGTCTTAAAGCATAGAGATCATAGACTACATAACTACACACAGTCAAAGAAACTGATGAACAAACCTCACTCTGATGACAGGGAATCCTTCTCTGTCACAAGGGCTGGGATACCACAGATGTCCACAACAGTTGTCTACTAGACATTATTCTTCCTTTATAGCCTAGCAGGCACATTTGAAATGACAGGCACAGGATTTAGGAAAGGATCATACACTTAAGGTAGTGTCACACTGACTGTGTTGCTCTCAAAGATCAGAGACACGTGGAAATGTCTTGAAACGTGCCTAAAAACGTGTCTAAATGGCCTTAGCTGTGCACTGGCCTTATGCAGTTTGAGCTTGTCTTAGCTAATGGCTTTTCACTCCTGCTAACTGGATGTGTTCCACCAAATAAACTGCATGTTCAGCCATTAATTCAATAATTATGAAATCAGGAAAGGAATGTTTATCCATTATTCTGAGGGGTTTTTTTTTCATTACACACTGATGCAGTTTGGGGTAGAAGAGCATGACAGCTGTAACAGTGAAGGTAGGCTTGTTTTGGATATGACAAGTGTAACAAGAATATGGATCACAATGTCCAGCATTGAAACATTCCTTCTGAAACCCTTATGCTGTTGAAACTAATTATTTATTTCGTATTTTAGTTCTCCTCTTAATCCACTCACAAAACTTTCTGTCAGGCACTAAGTTCCTGGTAAAGTAAATTAAAATACATCTTCAACAAACATGACTGAAAATGGGTTCTGTCTGATTGGAGTACATTTGCGCTTCTCTCCTTTGTTTGTATTTCGGCATTATGTTCTTATTTGCTAATAGCATATATTACTTTATTAAAATTAGCATGATATTATTTATGCAAATAGAGGCCACCGAGCAAACTGTGACGTGGTACTACTGTGCTATCTGTGGCCTCACTTGTTAATTATTGCCTGCTGAGAGGTTTTTTAAGAAAATATGGAGTTACCCACTTTGTAATCGTCATGATTATATTTGAATTTAAGATCTTGGGGAAATGTCTTTCTTTCTACACTCTCCCATGAGAGAGGGAACAGACTGAAATACTTTAAGCATTATGCTAACCTCCCTCCAGAGCAGGAAAAGACAAAGAGTCTCAGGAGAACCGTAATGCTTGAATGGGAACCAAGTTTTGGGAAGCATCAATGTGGCTGGATGAAGGGACAAGCTGTAGGCTGGAAGGCAAAGGTAGCATGCTGCCAGCCTGTGCTACATGTACAATTACAGGGCTCTGCTGATAGCTGGAAGGATGGTCTACAGAGAAGAGAGCAGATCAGGTGTTCACTCTGCTCAGATTTTTAAAAGCTTCAAGCAATAGCTGCACAGGAAAACATGTTGGTTCAGCCTTTGGCCTTTGCTCTGCGAAATGCACCTGGCAAAGCACAGATTTGCTCCACAGGATGTCCATCCTTTGAATCTTGAAAGATCTGGATGTGAGACAGCAATTTTTCTGTTTATATAGGCTTGATCCTTTCATTCCCATTTGTTGCACATGTCTATTTGAAGCAATTGAGGTGATTAAGCTGTCATCTGCCAGCACTTTGCATGAGCCCCCTAACAATTTTGTGACCACCTGGTAATGTGAGACTGTCACCTCACTGCTAAAGAGTCAGCACTCATTCACAGCCAACATATTAGCAGAAAACTCATCATTTTTACACCTGGATCAAAGTATGAATAATCAAATAAATATAATGAGAAATCAGTGCAGAAGAGTATATTTCAATGAGGAAGAGGAAAGACATTCAAGATACCCACAAATCTGATTTTCCTATTACACCCATCCCCACAGTATTTGTCTACAATCATATAAACCATGCATATCTTTTAAATTAACTGTACATCTGTTTCTGGGCATATAAGAACTTGGCAAACCTATGAGCGTTTGCAAAATTCAGTGTGTTCAAATGGAACCAATAAAACATTGTTCTCAGGAAGCAAAATCTCAACTGCACAGTGCAGTTCCCCAAATCTTGTTTGTTTGTTTCACAGAAGACTTGATAGAGATCTGTAAAACCAGCTGAAATTCTCCAGTTATAAGAACTGACACAATCACAAAATTTATTGCAAGGATTTTCTGGCATTTGCTGGATACCTGTTCTGTATTTTTCATATGATCATAATTGTTCAGAGACGTTTCACATTTCTCAGAAGTTTCCAAGGAGAAGAAAATTACATTCAAAAGATGATCCATTATTTAAAGGTGTTAGATCAAACCAATTCCTACTGTAGCTTTCTCACACTCGGCGGTGCTGTTGAATTGTGGTAGTTTCATCATCATGACGAAAAAACACATCTGCTTTTAATGTACTGACTTTGTAATTTAAACTAAATATGACATTACTTTTGCATTGTCATGATGATATTATTACTGAGCTCATACTCTCAGGTTTTAGATTACTTTTTTTTTTAAAGTACATGTAGCAGCAATATGTGGGCAAAAGTCAAACCAAAAGTCAAACCAAGTTTCCCTAAACCCAACCAGATATTTGGAGGCACACATGAAATCTGCATTAGCAGCTACAATGACCCAGGGCAGCCCTCTGGCCATGAAGGCAAGGTACCAGCACAGCTTTTGTCAACACACTAAACTGTTTTCTCATCCCTAAGAAGGGTAGTGTTGTCTGAACAGTCTCTGATAAACAGCCAGGTCATCTCTGACAGGTGACACCTCTTGGAAGCTTACTGTTTACAGAACTCATGGCTTTTATTTAATTTATTATTTAAATTTCTTGATTGGGATTATGTTTAAGGAAGTTCATGGTCCTCGTGAGTCCAAATCAATGGGTGAATGACCACTGGGAGACATTCAAGACCACACCAGCTACAAAACAATCCTTGTTTGTTATAAAAGTCACAACTGGAAAAAAAAAGTAAAAACAAAAGAAAGAAAATTGGTGATTATGTAGATTTGAATAGAGATGACAAGTTAGTACTTTTAACACAAGAAAACTAATAAGTGAAGCAAAAGAGTGAAAATCTATGGTAAACAGAGTTAACACCAGTCAGAAAGATATTTTGAACATAAAGGGAGCAAAAGGAATTCCGACAGTGGGACTGGAAATTATAAAATTGCCAAAAATAATCCAGAAAAGGCAGAAGTGTTCAATAAATAACTGATGTATCTTTGGCCAGGGATCAGATGATGTGATTACTTCATAAGAAAATCATGAAGAAATTTTCACTCCAACAGTGCATCAAAGAAGTCAAATAAGAGCTACTGATTTCAGACATATTTATAGTGCTTAGTCTCAAAATAAATATATGGGAGTCTAAAAGGAGCTACATGTAAGCCCCTCCAGGCCATTAATGTTGATTTTTTTCAATAACTCTTGCAGTACTGGGGAAGTTCAAGAAGATGAGAAAAAGTAAGGTAACCCCAGTATTAAAAATAAAAACAAAATTAGGAGGAATAAATGATACATCTGATACAACTCGGGTAATTACAAGATCATCAGACTGACTGCCATCAATCCCAGGCAAAATAAAGGAATGGCTGATACAGGAACCAATTAATGAGAAATAAAAGGGAGACAGTATAATTATTACTAGTCAGTGGGGTTCTTTGGCAAACAGATCCACCAGAATAACGCGATATCTTTGTCTGATGAGATTACAAATTGGGTGATAGAGCTAATGGTGTCACTATATTTGGGCTTCTACAAGACATCTTTCACAGTTCAGTACCATATATTGCAAAAAACATTGATTAAGAATGCTATGAATCAACACTGCACACATTAAATAGATTAAAACTGGCAAGCTACTTACACACCAGAAAGTCACTGTAAAGATGTGTGCTTTTAGTGAGGTTCAGTGGGGATCCAGTCCCGCACCAGCTAACTTTTTTTGCCTGAGATGCGGAAGGAAGGATAAAGTCATCGTTGATGAGAACTGTAGATAAGACAAATACTGGGCGAGAAGTATATAATTAAGATGATGGATGGCTTATGCAGAAGGATTTACAGCAGTTTATGATGCATCGGTGATGTATGATATTACCGCACATCAAAAATTGCCCGCTTTTTCTCTCATATACACAGACCAACAGAAAGACACATAAAATGGAAAATATAAGACCAAACATTCAATGCTTAGCCAAATTTTACCACATGGCAAGATGGACATAAATAAAATCCATGGTATTAAGACCAGCTGGTGGTCATATGTCTAGAAACAAAGGAAGTAGGGCACCTCTGGGGACTCAATTTGGAGAAGCAATGTCCCTTATGAATATGAGATCTCATCTAAGCAGAAACATAAATCTTAGGAACAAACATGCATCCTCAGTTCAGTTCTGTGGCCAAAAAAGGAGCCCCAGATCTCTTAAAAAGATGTGGAGCTGGTCCTGCTTTTGCACTGAACATTGATGTAATCACAACTGGAATTTCATGTCCTGGAAAGGACATTGATAACTGAAAGGGATCAAGACAGCACTGAGAAAGATTAAAGCAACAAGAGGAAGCATCTGTTAGTAACACTGCAGGAACTCAATCTACTTAGTTAATGAAAGAAAAGGTTAAAAGGTAATTTGATGAGTTTGTAAGTACTTACGAGGGAATACAACTTTGTTAATGGGTTATTCAGTTCAGCAGACAAATTAAAGCAAGTAGATGAAAGTTAAGGCTGGAAATACAGTGGAAACGTGATGCAAAATCTGGTTTTGGTAGAAACGGTCTTTGAAGTGCATTTTCTGGCAATGTCAATTTTTAAACAAAGACTGAATGTTGTTCCAAAGCCAGTAGTCTAGATCAAACACAAATCAATTTAGGAGAGTCCTACAGCCTGCAACACACAACGGGTCAGACCGTAGGAACTACTTCTACCTTTACTACATATTTATGGGGCAAATCTGGGTATAACAGGCACAGGGATGTCTGTCTGAGTTTGCAGAGAACCTGAAATAAATCAAGGAGCTCAACACTGCCACCAGGCTCAGTGGTGTTAATGTGCCAAGGCTTGCTGAGCTGGAGTGCCCAAGTGTGACATCAGGAGGAGGTTGTAAATCTGATGGCAGGAAAGGGCAGCGGGAGCCGTGCTCCTGCAGGTGAGCTGGCTGTTGAAGCAGTGAGCTGCTCCATACTAGTAACCTACCACCCCAACAAGGTGACATTCTGTACTGGGTAAAGGAATAAAGCTGTAGAATGGGATTCAATGATTCCTAAGATCACAAGATGGTTTCACTCCCCTGGAAAGTCATGCTATCATGATGCAAAAAATCCCCTAACAAGAACTGTGAATGCTGGATGCTAAATCCTATGTCCTTTCTGTCAACAACACTCTTATAGCACAGGAAGGGGAAATGCTATTAGCTTTATGAGAATAACATGCCACAGATAAACAAAGAGGAAGAAAGCAAACCCAGTCTATAAATTACGGCAATATTTTTTGTAAAGGTTTATGCACTGAAACGAATAGAATGATCTTTGTAGAAAAGGTGTGAACACAGGAATCATATGAAGATACAGAAAAAGAAGGAGTAAGAGGAGTAATTCTTCACAGAACCAGTTTGCAATAAAAGGAAAAACCATATCTGTGTAGAGTGGTATATAATTCAAGTTTTAATCAAAATGTACCAATTTCCCTCACAAAACAATAGGTGATATTCTAAACTGTCAAATTAAATGAAGGAAAAATATTATCAGCCACCCACTGCTTCCTCCATTTTGATAGTTAAAAACCTTCACTTTACTTGAAGAGTGCTTTAATTTGAGCCTTACATTTTCAATTTCTCTCAGATCAAGCTCCTCATCTGCCTGAATTTTCCATAGATTTGATACTGGCATGTGAATAACAGAGGTAATCACTTGCTGTTAACAATGGTAAATACAAAATAAGCAGGAAAGAGATATATTCCTTGCCAGGCCTTGTAATTACAAATTTGGCATGGTTCATGCAAGTTCAACTCAATCCAGATTTTTCTGCAAATGCTGAGCATCCAAATCCAACAGACAAATGTTGCTGGAATTACTCGAAGGATGAATTTAACCCAGACGGCTTAATGCCTGTGTGTTTCTCATGTGCAGGTCTCTGTTTGGTTTTGTTATGGAGGAAGTGAATGCACAGTTTATAAACCATCGACAAAAGCATTTTATGAGGAGCAGCTGGAAATTTTTGCCAGTTCCAAATACACTGCAGGTATGGGTCTTTTCAGTCAGTGCACAGGTTTTTTTTTTTGGGGGGGGGGAGTCTTTAGTGCTAAATGATTGAGTGCAGTGGCACAATCCATTTATAGATTTTACGTCTTTCCTTTAATTCTGCTTTGTGAACTATTTTTTTGCAACTTCACTGCAAGGAAAGCCTCCCTTACCCTTGCCCCAGCAGTACTCAGTGGAATGACTGATGTGAGCAAAATGATCACCAAACTGGTTTTCAGCAAGAAGGATTTGATTCAGAAAGTCGGTGGTAGATACTCCCAAAAAGGGACATTTCCAGAGCAGTACCAGACTCCAGAAACAAACAGAGGATTGAGGTAAGCTGGAGACGTCCTCCACCCCAGAAGTCTATGTCACTATGACACATGACATTTTTCAGCTTCAATTCAGGATATTTAGTGTTGCAAATGAAGGGTGCAAACCAGAAATAAATCCAAGATACAAAGATACAGAGTGAGTGTAGGGTAAAACCAATGAGCTTTATCAACTGTATAAAGGCAAAGCCAACTTTAGTCACCTTGTATATTCTTACACCTTTTCTGGACTTGCACTTGCATGGTTGTGGGCTCCTCCATGCACTCCTTTTTGACAGCTTTACTGTTTTTCTTTGATCAAGAAGAAGAAAAAAACCCCAACATTTCTCTCTTTGTAGCACTTACACATTTGGTAGAAAGAAACCAGTTGTTTTTTGGGTTTCTTTCCCCCTAGCCCAATCCATCAAACAAATTACCTCCCAGATGAGAATTTTACAAAATCAATTAACAAATTATTTTTTGACTAATAGCATGGTCTCTTAAATGCTTAAGGCAGGAGTTAGAAAGGCTATGGTTTTTAAGGAAGTGATCAATTTCCACAGTATTAACTGGTAATGCAAAGGTGTGGTTCAGCTCCTTTGTATTTGGGAGAGATTTGTTAATGCTCTGAAAGTCTTTAGCTCTGTGAACTACAGAACATACATGGTCCTTGAAAGCAGACCTATTCCATTAAAACTTTGGAGAATTTCTTTATCAGTCCTTTCTTAGGCTAAAAGTGTCTATCATCCTCTCTGTAGTCTGCTAAGTCTTAGAAATTATGAATGTGAAACAGGTAAGGAACTCTCTTTAGTTCTGTTATTGCAGCATATGAATCTCCTCATTTCAGTTCAATGTGATAAGTCAGATCGTCTCCCAGATTTTTCAGGAAACGAGTAATCTTGAGTAAGTCACATCCTTCAGGTCTCTTGCTAAACCAAAGGCTGAGGAGAGGCAGATAAAGCTGTAGTCTCCCTCTTAGGAGAAGTATCCGTGCCTCTATAGCTCTACAGAGCTTCCCTGTGGTGATGCCACCTTGGGACCTCGTTATCCACCTATGGCTGAAAGTGGCCTTGCACTGAGGCAGATGATAAGCTAACATTGCAGATTTCAGAGGCCACAGTCTCAAAAAACAGGGTAGTGAGTGCACGGACAGCTCCATCAACAGTCATTACAAAGAGGGTACCTAACTAATTCTGGGAAATTATATTCAAATATTTAAACAAGACTCTTACCATCCATAATGACCGTAAAAACCCCTACAATGAAGCACTATCCATTTGTAATTTCTGATTATACACTGGGGTTTTCAACTGAGGCTTTTTCCTTATTTGCCTTATTATCACAAAATTGGGCAGATACAGTTAATATAATGCACACCAAAAAAAATTAGACCTCGCACAGAGCAATCTGTACTTTCATTCCTCATTTTTAGGTTTATTAGAGACAACACTCTATTTTTTGTTAAGGCAGAGTGAGGCATAATTGAATACATTTTCTCTCATGTTGTGCACTGTTTTATATAGCAAAAATACGAGGAACATGTTTTCCTTGAAATACAAGGATCACTTCATTAATGTCTTTAAGCGATTACCAAGAACAAAGGCAGATATGCACTCCCCAAATTCTCTCTTGGTTTTTTCTTTTGTGCATTTTGTTTTTCTCCTCGTAGCTTGGACACCCACTTAAAAAGATGGGTTGAAAAACAGCTATGGTTGCAAAACATCTCCTATTCCATGACAGAGAGCTGTTTACATCATAGCAATGTTTACCCAAACAAAATACTCTGACACTTCATACAGCGCACAGTCGATGGGATCCTGCCATCTACCTGAAAGATGCGTGAAGACAAGGCTGTGGTCCTGGTGCTGCAGGAACCCTCTTTCACTCTTCCCTTTACATATTGGGTGTCCCCCTCAATGCATCCTCAGTGGCTGAGCTTCAAAGGCAGCCTGCAAGAACAGAGGGGAGATGAGGTTAAATTTTTTATAGCTGCTTCCTGTCCTGGCCTAACAGGTCTCAGTGTTCTTTCTGAGAGACCTGTAGAGTGGGAGGCTATGGTAGAAGCCGCAGGCTTCCCATGTGCTTTCATTCCTGGACTGAATATTGCTCTTTTAATCAACTTCTTAACGACAACAGTTGGGTTCCAAGGTTGCAACTGGCAGCCTGCAAACTCTTTCTGTTGCGCAACAATATCTGCAGGACAGATGTGTTTGGATATAAACATACCAGAACGTATTTTTAGTGAGCGTTCATGAGCTGTTTGCTGGATGACAGCCCAGCGTGCCTCCAGGTTGAGCTCAAACTAAAGAGAGAAATGGGGTGCTTCAGCAGCGTGAACAGAAACATGCATGAATGGCCAAATCCTTATTATGAGAAAAGAGAAGAAAACACAGGCATTTGGTCTTAATCAGCATGTTTCCTCTGGGAGCTCTCTGCATCATTGTCTGCTGTCCCCTATCTACTTTGACACCAATCAAGTAGTTAGAGAGCAAAAACCTTCAACCCAAAGTCACTGAAGCTTGGCCCAAGCCTGACACCAAGTGCAGCCCCTGATCTCTGGGTCGCCCTCTCTGAGAGACAGTGAAGAGGTGCAGGCAGAAAACAGGGCAGTTCCTGTCCTGTTTCTCTCTAGTCACTAATCATGAACTCATGAATAGCAGAGGAAAGTTAAGTTCACTCTCACAAGTGCTGCAGTAACTTGTTTTTCCTTCCTGAAAGAAAGGAGGATCTGTGCCTGAGAGGAAAGGCTGAAACAAAATGGGTAGTGTTGGTATGTGGATGAATGGTAGGATAGATGCCTTCTCCCTTTAGGATGGGCAGTTGTTTTGCTGGCTTGTATTGAGTGTCCTCACTGTAGAAAATGATTATTTAAAAGGGATTCTCAAGTACCATAACCAGATGTGCACTGTGTTTTCCTCTTCCTGAACTAACTCGCCTGGTTTTCAGCCTCTCTTCTGCCTATTCTTCTTGATCTCTCTCACATTTATCTGCACAAACAAACATGTTTTTTCAGACAATTAGTGTGATTTCACATCAGAGAAATATTTCTCCTCTGCCTCCTTTATGATTCTGTGGCAAAAAATAAAACACTCTGTATTATTTAGTATCCCTGCACTGAAAGAGTAACTGAATTCTTTATACAAGTATATTTTAGTCAAACGAAAGGTCATCTGAAAGCTGGGTAAAACTTTATTGTTTAAATGGTTTAAACCCAAATGCATTACTATACTAGTATGTCTGCATTAATAACATACAGGAAGAAAACAGTACATCCAGCAGTAAAATGTTCTAGTAAGCTGCTAATAAAAAATAAATTAGCATGATGCAGCAATTGTAATTTGATAATCTTCAGCTTTTTATGATATCCAGCAGAGTAAGCAAGCCTTGATTGTTGCTTGCACATACACATTTTATATGTATAAATACATTTGACATCAGTTTATATGCACAGCTATGTTCTTTCCTAAGGATTCATACATCAAATGATATTCAAATTATATCTGGCTCCAGAAAAACCCTGCTGGGATATCCAGCAACTAAATGAGTTCATTCAGAACTATTAGTGATCATTTTCAAACAGGAGTTACAGAAATAAGGGGATACACATATTTTGTGTGATTAATCGGGACATTTCATCTGCCAGTGCTTCTTAGAATAGCTAATTGGTTTTCCAGCATCTGTGCATGGTAGATCTTGGTTAGCTGTGCATTAACAAAGGCCAACTGACTGGCCCTGCACAGTCAGACATCATTATTTTCAATCAGACCAGTCTGTTTCTAGGGTAAATTACAAATCCATTGAATATTTCTGTTTGTTCTGCCAGTCACGGAGCTCATACATTTGACCCAAATGGAATCTTCCTTGCTTTCTGGCAGTGAAAGATAAAAACTGAATTGAATTTCTTGTTTGTTTGATGGTGTCTTTTAGAAAAATTGCCACCTGTCTTTTTGTTCGGAAAAAGTCTTTTTTAGATATATATTTTTTTTTTGGCTTAAAGTGAGAAGAAGATACACCTCTGATAATACCTGTGAATATTGCCCTACCTTTAAAAAAGATATCACTAGAAAGGGCAAACTTAGGCTTGACTAACTGACATATTTGAAATAAACTATTGCTCTAATCATCTATTCAAAACCTGGTATTGAGTGAAGTAGGTCAGGAATAGATTCTGGCATGAAACACACACGTCTGCCTGCAAAAGTGTGTGAAGTCACCAATTATGCTTCAGGTACAATTATCCTGGTATTTTGGCTCAAGTCACTAAAAGTAAGTGGATTGCTTATGTCTCAACTCTTCCTGGGAGCAGTTAAGCAGAGAGAATGAAAACATCCTTTAAAACTGTTCAAGTCATAAAATCATAAAATGGTCTGTATTAGAAGGGACATTTAAAGGTCATTTGGTACAACTGCCCTGCAGTGAACAGGGACATCTTCAACTAGATCAGGTTGCTCAGAGCCCTATCCATTCCGACCTTGAACGTTTCGAGAGATGGGGCATTTATGATCTCTCTGGGCAAGGAGTGTTTTACCACCCTCATTGTAAAAAATTTCTTCCTTATAGCTACTCTAAATTACCCCTTTTCAGTTTAAAACTGTTATTTCTTGTCCTATTGCAACAGGCCTTGATAAAATGTTTGTCAAGTCAACTGTAAACCTACTCTTTCCACTTTCCCCTCATTTTCCCTCTCAGAGAACAACTAGGGAAGAAATTATGAAGGCAGCTATTTGTTAGGTAAGAAATGACCATAACCTTCTGTTTATAAGGCTAACCTCAAAATAAAAATAATAGTAAATATGTGTTGAGAGCCAGCTATTTTTCCTCAAGCACCTGGTATATTTTTTTCAATACTTGATTTAAATTATTTACAGATTTTCTTTAAGCATATCAAGTAACCCTTGGAAATAAAATGCCATAGTATGTGGAAAATTATATTGGTGAGCAATCAGAAGCCTGGGAACACCCAAGTCAAAGTTTTGCTCTCCCAGCTCAGGCACATGCAAGGTGTTCCCTTCACTTTGTCCCATTTCATGGTCAGTGTAATTCAGGCATTTGTGGCCTGGTGCAATGTCTGTGTTCCCAAGGACACTAGCATGCTTGCTATTTATGGGCCCCTGAGGACAGGAGAATCAGAAACCTGAATTTGGAGTTCTCAGTCAAAGAAGAGAGACCAAAGTATTTTGACTGTCTGTGGATGCCTCAGCCATGACATTACACACAGCCATGTGCTGCTGTCATCTCTCCTGTTTGCATCCCAGAGAGAGCTGCATAATACACCAGGGAAAGGAATGACATATCACTGGCATCATAACTTACATAGAAACCGAACTCAGCCATCGAGATGTCTGTGCTTCAGAAGCTTTGCCCCAGCCATGAAGAGATCAAGAAGAGCCCCATAAAGAAAGGAAGATACACCTCTGCTGATTGTCAGGGCCATCCAAGTTAAAGGTTCACCTCTCCCCACTGACTTTATGGAGAAGTTAGCCTTGGGGTTGTCATCTCCCAGCTTCAGGCAGAATTTAGGAAAACTGGACCACACAGTTAATTGTTCTAATAAACTAATACTTCATTGAGATATGTTGAGGATTAGCTGACTTATGAGCAAGACTTCTTCTGCCAGCCTCTTCCAGTGCTTTTAAAATGTTTCTTCAGAGCCTGTCTTCTCAGTGCAGGCCAGGAGAAGCTGCTGCATTAGAGGTGAATATTATTGCCTGTTATATGAATGAATTAGAGACAAAGACCAGATCCAACATTTTCCCAGGGAGACACCATGGCCCTGTTACCTGGACATTAGCCTGGGGTTAAGAACAGCCTGTTTTCCTTCTCCATTTCACCACAAATCTCCTCTGTGACCATGAGCAAGTTGTTTGATCCAAATCAAAGGAGTTTAGCTTCCCTATTTTCAGATTCCCATTTGTAAAATCAGTCATGGCTCTTCTCCACTTCAGAGGGATGCTGCAAGGATATTACATGAAAAATTGTGAAGCACTACAAACATGAGTATTGAGGAGAACATCAGAAGGTATAAAGCTCTCCATGCTCCCAGACTAGCCTGCTCCATCATCTTTTTTTGGTGATGAGTTGAAGTAGAAATTGTAGCTGACAGATAAATTTCCTTTAACAAGGTGCTAAAGCCATTTCTTTCAGAATGATGATTCCTTCACAAAACCCATATCCAGGCTCCCAGCTCGAGATCCAGGTGCAAACCTACTTTTACAACTGAATTTCTCTTGGGTTTATGAAGACACTTGGGACTTTCCAAGGGTTACTGCTCTGTAAAACCACTGTTTATTGGAAAGATTTCCTCTTTCTACCAGGGAAGGAAGCCTTGTTTCAATGCAAATACTAATTTCCAAGAGTACTGGCAGTTAAAACATTGAGATATTAACACAATACCACAAACCTAATAATGTGTCATTGTTTTTCAAGCAGAAATTAGTCTGATTTGACTTTTTAAATTGCTTGCATCAGAACATAAGGCACTGTAAATTAAAGATTAATGCATTTCATAAATATATAAATTTTTAAACTTTTTCCTACCCTTTTATCAATATTTAAAGTTGTCTTTACAGCTCAATCCATTTTTTTAGTCCAAACATGTTCTCCCCCAGCAATTGTAAGACATAGCTCTTTTGTAAGGCCTTACTCATCTTTGCCAGGTCTGTGCTTCCCTCCAGTGATGGAGAACATGGCCCACTCTTTCATATTGTTGTATATATGCATTAAGTGAAATTAGACTGCTTTTACGACCTATTTTTAAAACACTCAAATTTATTTACTGTTGTGTTTATAAAATTGTGAGTAACAGGACACATATTTTGAAAGAAGATGAAGAATAAACAGGCTTATTAGTGTATCATTACTGTGCATGAGTTTCTGATTAGTTGTTTCTATTTCACAAGCAAACGGGAAGCACTTGAAAGCTTTAGCTTCTGTTTAGCTCAAATACTGGTACAGCAGGAGAATACTTTCAAGGAGGGATAGAAATGTCAAGTCCAGTAACAAATTTACACACCAGTACGATGAAAGAGGAAAACAGTGTTTATAGATTGCTTTCTTCAACATGGTACTGTTTATCCTGTAGAATAACAGTTTAAAAGCACATTGTCAAAATGTTTCTCTTCTCACTGAACAGTCTGTATTTTTATATTGGATGCTTATTATATATGTGTATTTGGATTGATCTAGAAAAACTACACTACAAACTGCAGTGAGAAAGGGTGAAAAATGAGGGCACACTGCAGAAAACAAAGTCTCATCCTCTAAAACCAGTTTTTACAAACCAAGATTATCAGCTTGAGTCCTCCCTTATCTGTCTAATCAGTCAGCTCTGTGTAGTTTTCCACACTGGCTGTCACTCTCCGGAGAAAGGGCTGTTGGCTCTGACCTGGCAGGACAGGAAGCAACTCCAGACCAAAAGCTGGGCAACTATACGTGCCTGCCATGTTTCAGTCATGATGCTGCATATTACTTGGGCACAGTGCTGCACCCTTCAGAGTTTGGCTCCTGCAGCCCTGAGCCAAGGTAGAGCACGAGTAGTGCTCAAAGAGCCTGAGCCCAAGGATATGCCCTGCCATCACACTGCCTCTCTGGCTGCAGGGATCTGCTCTTGATCCATATTCCTACACCAGTGGTAAATTATTGAAGTAGCATCAAGTACAGAAAACCCGAAGGGAGGATGATGCTCATCTCAGAAGAGATGACCATAAGTAAGCCCCTTGGAATGACAGAAAGCATCATCCAGGTCTCTCCCTGCTCTACAGAGTAAGGTCCTGCATCTACCAGCCCAGCAAGGGAGCCACCATCTCAGTCAGCACCAGTAGAGACATGAGATTCAAGCCCCACAGAGACACTCAGAATCCAGAATGAGATTGCCCTTTCCGGGAGCTGATGCAAAAACTCGTTGCTCTTTCAATGCACAGCCTACATTAACCTGCCTGAATCTGAGATCTGGACAGACAAATGCTTGGCAAACCAGCCATAGAGGTTTTGAACATGAAACTATGCAGGAGAAACGGAGCAAGAAAATTTAATCTTTTGAAGTCCTCATCACATTGGATTAATTCAGCAGGCCACACTTCTGTTCTGTTTGCACTGTCAGAAAGTCTTTGACTGGCTTTGACATTAGAGTGAAATAGATGGATATTAATAAAAGGATACAGATAAAGAGCTAAGGAGACAGATACTGGGATCAAATTGTTAATGCTTTACACTCACACTTGTCTATATATAAAAAATGGCTTTTGCAAACATCAGAATGTTCATTACAGTATTCAGAAAGGGAGTTTTACTGTGACAATCTGCTGAAAACTGCCTCTGTGATGATAGCAGGAAATCAGTCACTTATTTTGCTGGATTGTTCGTAAAACTGACAGGCAGGCTCTGACTGAATCCGAGAAGCCTGCACCTGGTCAGATCTGCGAGATCTGACAACAGTCTCTCTGTTGCTAATAATTATGCACCAGTTTAATCACCAACCTCGTGCTTAGCAAATTGAAAGCATACAACTGGGTAAATGATGAAGCTATAGGTATTTAAATCATACAGCAGTTTTTGTTCAATTGGCGTGGTGATGAGTTGCTCTTTTTTTCTAAATTCTAGATGATGCTGGCAGTGTTTAAAACTGAGGTTAGAAATTACAGCAGAAGAATCTGACTTGTGACACATCTCATAAAATAAGTCATTGTGCCCTGAACCAAATATAGATTGTTGATCACTTAAATCTATAGCTCAAAACACCTGCAATGCAAATAAAATTAAAACTCGCTTTGTTCCTTCCTAGGCACAATGGTCACTTGTTTGATTCCTATTTTACATTCAGATTAGTTCAGCTGAGAAGCACAGAGTACAGATGCAAGTTTGATTATGTCATTAGTAAAGTCGTATAGATCAGTTTAAACCTATTACACTAAGAAATAATTGAGAGAGGTCTCTGTGGGAGGATAAAAGGTATTTCTAGGCACAAATCTCATCTATTGTCAGATGTGTATGTGTTTCCATTTGGGATTACTTTTATTTTCCTCTACAGGGAAGATGCACTATCATTTCTTTTAAAACTTTGTGTTCTTTTAACCATGTTACTCCATCACAGCAAACTGTCTTCACTAGCACCATGCCTCACATTTGACTGGCTTTTGGTAACAGCAAATAGTCATAGTGAAAACTTAGTTAAGTTCACTGAAAAAGAAGGTTGAAGGGATCTAACTTCAATCTTGGCGTTGAACTAACACTAGCAAGGGTCCAAGCACCACTTGCCAATGCCAAGCACCAGAGTGCTTTTATGAGTGAACTGCTGGTGCAGTTCTAACAGGTTGCCCTGAACCTGAACTGCATCCTTCCCTTGAATGTCATGTACCTGATACTTCCTGAGATCTGTGGGGTGCTACACATTTTGCTCTTCTGTGGTCCTTGAAGGGACAGGTGAATGCAGCAGCTCCCAGGAAAGAAGGGGATGAGGAAGGAAAGACACGACATTCACTGCTCCTGGATCGGAGGATAGCTGAGCTGGGCTCCTCCTGCACCAGACAAGGGAGAAAAAAAGAATATCAGGCAACGTCTGCTGTCAGAACAGGCTGAATCCAGTCATAGTCCTAACTCCCTCACCCCACCAAACACACACAACTTCAAACAGCAGCAGCATAACAGGCTCTGCTCCAGGCTGTGACAAGCTGGACAGCATCTTCAGCTGTCCTAGCAGCATTTGGAAATAATCTATCAAATTGTTTAGTGTTACTCCCTCTCCTCTTATAAAACTATCACATGTACAGAACTGGGGCTATTTGACATTTGACAGATAGACAATTTGAAGTTTAGATAAGAGAAAATATGCATGTCAAATGAGACTTGCTTTATTTACCTTAGGCCTTCACAATACACAAAATAAAACCTTAAAATAAATGAAATTAAAATACACTTCTATTGTATGATAAATGTCTAAATTTGCCCTACTGAATTGCCTTTCAGCTGACTACCCAGCTCTGAAAAGCTACTGGGCACAGAGAGACTATATTTAAGAGCAGCTGAGATCCATTAATTGCATAAAATTATTCTCATTCTTCTGGAATGTTTTTCTGTGAAAAGGAGGTAGAAAACGGCTGGAGATTTCCAGAGCAACATGTAAGAGAGACAGAAACCTGCTCACATGTAAGAGTCCAACCTGAGCTAGAAGGACACACCATTGCCACATTTTAGAAGGACACAGGGAGGAAATGCTGCCTAGGTACTCAGGAAATGAGGAATAGTTCCCATCTCTTGTTATTTTCAAGGATGTATAATTAACAATGCTTTAGGCACAATGCCTCTGTGGCACAGAGATATATTTAATTGCATTCTTTCTGTTCTTTAATGTCTTTACCAGCTAGGTTAAACTACCGGCATGGAGACCTCCTCGATCTAGAAAATTCCCCAGGTAGGTTCCAGGAGCAATGGATGTGCACACTGTAGGGTTCTGGGGCAGGATGCACTGAGAAATCTCCACTGAGGAACAAGTCAGTAGTGGGTGATTCTCGTCTGTTTTTAGGATGCCCAACAAATACTGAGAGGTTGAGAGTAGATCCTGCAGTCTCAGTGCTAGAAGTAGAAATTAGGCTGAGTAGGTTTCTCTGTCCAAGAAACATGTGAAACCTAGAAACCAGTCACATCAAGGGATGACTATTCAGAAGGGTAATGGACCATTTTTTTACCCCACATCTGCAGTGAAGAGAAAGGTTATGATGTTGCACTAAACTCTATCTGGTTCATCTTGTTTACCACGTCATCTGCCACAATGCTAAATGTATCAAAACCAAGGAGCACTAAGAGGTGTTTAACCCAATTTCAGTAAATGCACCTTTTTAGAACATGGGCGAGATCCAGTGAATTTTTCAGTATTCACTATATTTCATGTTATTAAAATCTTCATTGTTTAGGGGAAAATCTTGAAGGTTTAGGAAAATCAGGAGTTCACGCACTACATAGAACATATTTTTTTAAAAACATTATCACAGTAGGTTCAGCACAAGACATTTAAAGATTCATTATGATTTACCAAAGACAAATTTAATTATTGTTACCCATAATTATAACTATTTAGGATCAGTTTCTTTTAAGGGGTGCTTTTGTTTTAACATCAGGCTGCTCTCAGCCCTCTTCACTTCTATTTGAAAGTTATCATTAAATGGTCAAATCAAATACAGCAGTTAGCTTTAAAGACTTGCTGTTCCATTAATTATATTACAGCATGTAACATTTCTGCACAGGGACCTTCTTCATAATATCCACTAACCCACTACCTCATGAATTTTAATTATGTGCGGCAAAGAAAAGCCCACATCATTAAGACCATAAAAAATGTATTGTATTAGCCTTTCTTGCAATTGCTAGCACTGACTAGGACCTTAGAAAAGCAACAGTTCCTGCTCCCACTCCAATTAATTAAGCAATCAGTATCTCCAGAATTATTCTGTTATCATCTGGTGACGGATGATAGCAAGCAAAGGCAACAGCTGGGTAGGCATGTGAGAGATGTCACAGGCAACACTGCCCTTCATTATGTTGTTTTCAAATGATTTATGGACACCTCCTTTGAAAAAAAAAAATGAGGAGAGGTTTACTAAAAACTTAAATAAGAGCAAATCTGAAATATACATGAAAACAGGTTAACAATACGTTGGTATTATTTCTTCAGTTTTACAAAACTCCCTCAAAAAGACTATACTAGCATCATCAAGACAAAAGAAGGCATTTTTTTCCAGTGGAACATCTGCAGGGACTAAAGCATATGGCAGGAAAACATAGCAAGAAGGAAGAGTCTTTTCAGCTTTTGTCTACACTAGTATTCATTTATGTATTTTAATGTAAATTATTTTATCATTTTAATGACCTTGCCCTCTTACCCATTTATGGATGTCTATATTATATATATATTATATATACATCTAATAATTTCTGGGAACGAACTAAGAACAAACAAACAAAGGGAACATGTGGAGTTCTTTTAAAACAACAACCTACAATCTTTGTCCTATCTCTTCTAATGGTTATTTATAACTATATTTTTACATATTACCCACAAAGTGTTACGGCCTTCCCTCTGGGGGATACTGCAGAGCTCTGTGACCAGCTTTGTGAGCTAGTCAAGATGAGCCCCTAGGCTCTGTTTTCCCCATTTTTATTCAGTCATATTAAGGACGACTGTGTGTAGCACCAAGAGGACAACATCTTAAGCATGATCAACAGTATCACATGCAACTACAGAACGTGATGTGATTTAAACAGAACTCTTCAAATTAGCACAGAGTTGTTTATACACAAATATGTTGAGGGATTTTTTCACTAATATATGTGCTGACTGGTGTATTAGCACAGCACAGAGATGTCTTTTGATCCCTTACCACTGCTTTCTGCTGGTGTGGAAGAAGAGCATCCAGGAGTGGCAACCAACAGAAAGGTAATTCAGTCCTGCTTTCCAGCCTTCTCATCCCTCCTCAGTTTAGCAGTATGCTGCTTCATAGGATGCTTATGATATTTCTGCCTCTTGTATTAAAAAGGAGTTTGTGAAGAGCCTAACAGAGAGATCATATGCAGATGTGCTCACAGACAGGCCACACAGCCAATGTAAATCTCTGTTACCAGAGCAGTTGATGTGAGCATGTCTTCACAAGCACAAACATTTTACAGAAGGTACTATGTAGGCAAGCTACATCAGAGATTGATAAAAGGGTTTTAGACCTTAAAAATCTGTTGCATTTCTTCTCATAGGGGAAGTAAAATGTTTTCTACTAATAGTTCCATTTTGCAGTTCACAGAAATTAAGGGTATTCAAGTTCCAGATAATTAATTGTATGGTATATTATAACCTCTTCAGAAGAGCTAGGTGGTAAATTTACTGTCTGGGTGTTTAATGGATTAATACTTAATGCCACATTACTAAACTTGGTGTGCTTAAAGTTCACTGATTTAGCGTTTAATGAAATGAAAGAGAAAGGGGCAATATGGAGCTCACCTGAGTAGAATTGTAGAGAGCTAATATACAAAATCACCAAAAAAATGAAATGGTACCCTACAATTATAACAATTACTACAAGGTAGAGAAAAGGTAGGATGTACTTTTGCTCAAAAAGATGCTGGAAACTGGCACTCTAAAACACAGACACAATGAATGTTCACTGTTTGAATTAATCTTTCAAAAGGTCTAAAATATTGCATTTCTTAAAATTAGGGCATATAAAGACAATCTGTTCTTTTGCGTATCTGGAAGTACAAGGCTTTGAATAAAATCTTATCTGAAGCATCAGTACTGTTTGCTATGCAATTTCACAGTGCTGCGAAGAACTGGTGAGCAGAAGCCCTCTCAAGACATTTCTACACCAAAGCTGGGTAATAGGAGTCCTAATCAGAGTCACCCTGGGAGCTGAATGTCTGCCCCATAAGTGATAGCTGTTATTTAGAGCATGCCATCAGGCCTGGAAGGAAGGTCTTAATGGTCTTATATAGCTAAGAAATAAATGCCATCCCAAGAGTTCAGGATAAAAAAGACAAAATATTTATCATCTCTATTTTTTTAATGAAAATTATTAAATGAGGCTGTAGTATATCAAATCGGACTTCTAGTCACCCCAGCCCAAGCTCAGTGTCATAGCAGCACATCCATCCTTTCACAAGAATGAAAAAGGTGCCCAGCTGGAAAAATACAGGAGATGTGCAGAGATTTAGCTCCAGTCTGGCAGCATTTTCCAGTGCGTGATTAAGATCAAGAAGTTTGCTTGATGGGGAATACAGTGCTCAGCACTTTGTAAGTTCTGGTATGTAACTACTACTTTGAAGAAACAAAATAAAATAAGGACAGAAAAAGAACAGCAAGTTGTAGGGCTTGACAATTTGCAAGCTGACGGATGAAACTTTCCATGAAAAGATTTGTGTGTATTTGAAGGAAAATTATGGTAATGCCCCGAGAAAATCATCTTCTTCTCTACCATTACAGTTCCAAAGTGAACAACCTACCTTGGTGTGCTCAGCCCAGTTCACTCTGTAAAAGTCCCTCAGAGTCAAGGGCTAAAATGCTCATGTTTGAAAAACCCAGAGAGCTGCTAAGTCCCTGCTTTGTGACCTTAAGCATCTTTAAGTGCACCTTGAGTTTCTATGGGATACAGCAGGATTTCTAAAGAAAAGGTCATTAAATGCCATTTTATGTATCTAATCATAAGATAAATAGGCAAGCTTGCAAATTATTGTCTTCAGGTCCCACTCTGCTCTGCACTGGTGCTCACCCTGAATACTGTGTGCAGTTTTGGTCACTGCAATATAGGAAAGATATTTAGCTCTTAGAGAGTGTCCAAAGGAGAGCAATGAAGATGGTGAAGGGTCTTGAGGGGAAGCTGTATGAGGACTGGCTGAAGTCACTTGGTCTGTTCAGCCTGGAGAAGAGGAGACTGAGGGGAGACCTCATTGCAGTTACAACTTCCTCGTGAGGGGAAGAGGAGGGGCAGGCACTGATGTCTTCTCTGTGGTGACCAGTGACAGGACCTGAGGGAATGAC